GCAAAGGATCTATGTGAAGAACAATTTGCCCCAGAAAATGCAATGAGGGTCTGGACAGTAAACATTCAGATTGAGATTGCAGAGAACGGGTGAGCCTCGCCTCAGGGGGGAGAATGTTCCACAAGGGGGGAGCCATGGCAGAGAAGGCCCACCTCCTGGGACCCAGCAAATGCAAGTCCTTGGCTGATGGAACGCGTAGCATACCTTCCCTGCCGGATCTAATGGGATGGACTGATGTGTTTGGGGACAGGCGGTGCCTCAGATAACCTGGCCCCATGCCATGAAGGGCTTTAAAGGTCGCAACCAGCACCTTGAATTGGACCTGGAAGCAAACTGGCATCCGATGCAGCTCGCAAAGCAGAGGTGTGATATGTGCACTTCTAGGAGCACACATCACTGCCTGCGCTGCCGCATTCTGCACCAGTTGAAGCTTCCAGATACTCTTGAAGGACAGTCCCATGTACACCGCATTACAGTAGTCCAATCTGGAGGTGACTAGGGCATGAGTGATTGTGAGCAGAGCCTCCCGATCTAGGAAGGGGCACAATTGGTGCACAACATAAAGCTGTGCAAAGGCCCTCCTAGCCACAACTGCCACTTGCTCTTTGAGCAAGAGTCGTGAGTCTAGGAGAACCTCTAGACAGCAGGACAAAAAACCATTTGGAAGGTGTTTAAACTTGGTTGGAACTGGAGTAAGCTTCTCAACATCAGTGCAACCTTCAAGCTATTACTTTTATTTGGTTATTGTTTAATTAAATTATAGCTCTTCCAGTGACCATCCTGGAATCTCCTTGATTCTCTCCATCCACTTTCTCTCCTGCCTTCCTCTTCATCTCCTCCTTCATCCATACTAGGGACAATTCTTTTTTTCTAGTTGACCTTTACTCCCCTCACTTTCCACAGGCTGACCATTGCTTCAGAACTGGAGACCTTTCTTGGGCTTTCGAGGTTTAAGTCAACTTAGGATCTTTGTTCCCAGCGGGCACAGCCACCACGGAAGAATGCATTTATAACCACAGAATGCATTTCGGCAGCGATTGCATAGGTTGATGGAGTCCAAGTTCCAAGGCAA